TCATGTGTTTGTTAGCCATCTGAATGTCGTCTTCGGTGAAGTGCCTGTTCATATCCTGTGCCCATTTTTCTATTGGATTATTTACCTTTATCTTGTTGTTGTGCTCAAGTATTTCATAAATTCTGGATATAAGTCCCTTATCTGATATGTTATTGCCGAATAGTTGTGTACCTTTGAATCAGAACTGACTCATAGCTGAGCCTCCAGCCTGTCTTCAGAGGCAGTTAATCTCAAAGGGAGAGATTAGGAAGAGATTACTCATCTTCTTATGGAAGAGCAGCATGTGGATTCGAACCATGGGCCTTTTGTGCATTTTTAAAAAAAATTTTAATGTGTGTGTGTGTGTGTGTGTGTGTGTGTGTGTGTGTGTGTACCGTCAACTCGGATCTGACCGGTACAGGAGGAGATTGTCCCTCCTTCTCCAGCAGAGCATTTGGTGGATTCAAATTGCTCACCCCTGGGATTGCAGTGCAGCTTCTTGCCACTAGGCCACCAGAGCTCGCCTGTGTATTCTTTCAACAATACTAAGTGCTAGGAAGAAAATAAAAGCAAGAAAGGAGAAGACTTAATCTTCCCTTTTCTTTTGTTTCTGTGTCCTTCATATCTCTCCCCCACCTTGCCTTCTCCTGTATCCTTATTTGAGTTTTCTTCTTCCGGCCTTATGCCTATTCTCACCGAAAATCCACTGCTGTTGAGTCAGTTTTGACTCAGTGATACTGTCCAACAACGTAGAACCTCTCCAGAGGGTTTCCACGGCTGTGCAGGTTTTTGTTTCATTTTTTTTTTAACAGAAGCATACGGCTTCATTTTCTTACTGACCTTCTGACAAGCAGCTCCATGCTTTTACCTACAGCGCCAAAGCCATAACTATCACAAAACCAGAACCACCCCCCGTCCAACTCATAGCGACCCTCTGCGCAGTTTCTGAGGCTGTGAATCTTTATGGGAGTATGCTATCCGTCTTCCACAGAGCAGCGGGTGGATTTGAACTTCCAACCTTCCCTTCCTAGCCAAGTGTTTCACCACAGCACCATCAGGGCTCCTCTCCAGTTCCTCCTAAGAGGAAGTGAGAAACTCTGAAAGCCTTCCCTTTTGTAGACCTCTTCTCTGAGGTAGCCACAGCCGTAGCTGTCTCATTGTGGCTGGAACATGATGTAGGCAACTCTGGGATCTAAAGTAGGGGGAGCCTGCTGTGCCCACTTTGGCCTCAGTTCCAGGCTCCAAAAAAGGAACAGAACAAAACAAGAGGCATAAAAGCCTCTGTTGTGACTGTCCAAAAAGGAACAGAACAAAGCGAGGTGGTTAAAACGCTTCCCCACCTCAGTGCAGTCGTTGGGCCTAACGGACATGAGGCCTTGCTGCTCCTTTAAGGCCGATAACTCTGGCACGCTTACCCTCCTGGTTAGCAAGCAGGCTATCTGGGGATGCAGCTTGCCTAGCTCAGCCTCTGCTGCTGGCCTGGCTGGAGGCCAAGGGGCCCGGAAAACCATTTTCAGGAGGCCTGGGCTAGTAGGTGCCCAGGAAGCGAGCGGGGCCAGCCCTTCCTCTCCCAGGAGAGCAGCTTATCACCCTCCACTCGACTTCCTGTGGCCTGATTCTATCCCTAGATTCTCTGTGTCTCTTGGGAATATTAAGAGAGACACAGCTTAATCTATTTTTATTAGCTCATTGTTTATTAATACCACCACGGAACCTGCTTGTTTAGGCCTGTACTGGCTCTTCTGTCCAGAGGCGTAAGAGTTGTAATTTTCAACTCCCCTCCCCCCTTCGTTTTCATTTAAATCAAGATTTCTCTGTTGCGGTAGGGTTAGCAGTTGGAACTGCATTATTCCTTGTGGTGGGGGTTGGGGGGGTGTCACTGTGCGCATTGTAGAATGTAACAGCATCCCTGGTCTGTTCCCACTAGATGCCAGAATTTCTTGGACTTGGTCTCCAATTGAGACAACCCAAAATGTCTGCAGAGACTGCTGAATGTCTCCCTGCTACCTTGGAGTGGGTACAGCTGCCCATGGTTGAGACCCACTGATTGTGGGGAAGCCTAATTTTTTCAGAGATGGCAAAATATTCCCCTTGGTATTTCCCTGGAGGGTCTCTCCCTGGGCCTCAGATGGTAAAGGTGTTTTCCAACACCAGTGCGGGTCAGTGTTTAAAGCACATTCAAAGCAGCGCCCACCAAGCAGTTTTTTGTTTGTGGATTTTTGCCCTGTTTCCTGCTAGGCTCATTGCAGCATCTTTCTCTGGAGGTGGGTGAAGGTTTGGGCTATAGCGTCATAGTGGGCTTGGACATCTGGCTCCTGTCCATTATGTGACCTTGGGCAACTCGCTTCACTTCTCTGGGCCTGGTCTCTGGGGAACAATGGTGTGAGTCAGCCTGTGTAAAGCACTGATTTAGCAGGGAGCTGGGCCTGGGGTGAGCACACGCAGTGGCTTCTGGGATTACTCAATGTGGTGGGGATTAAGGAGGGTTGCTGAATGGATCTCGAAGTTGGGGCCTCTAACATTTGGTTTTCTTTTTTTCCTGCTTATCAGCCACATTCCATCAAGCCCAGGATTGGTCCTTAGTAGGCCTGCCCCAGGCAGTCTTTTTCAGTCCCCTCCCTCCCAGGATTCCATCTGCTGCCATACCTTTGTCTCTCAGCTCAGGCTCAATGGTCATTTCCCAGATAACCTCAGACCTATGGTAATGCCAGCTGCATTCCTCAAACAGAGCAGGGTTGCCAGAATAAGCCAGCAGCTTCCTGCTCTTTGCCCCAGAAAACATTTCAAGTGATCAAGTGATCAGAGAGAGGGAGGAAGGGAGGGAGAATGCTGCAGCTGCTTATGCAACAAGCTTTAATCCTGGGGTTAAAATCCACCAGGCACACGCAAGGGCCGGTTTCCTTTCCTCGTGGGGTGTGGTGGAGTTGCACACCAGATCTGCCACAATCTTCCAGCCTTGTCTCCCACAAGCAGCGCCCACAGAAACAAACAGTATCCCATATGGGATGGTGGTGAAGAGTTCCTGCTCACCCATGCCTGGGTGGTTGTGAGGGGGAAAGAGAGAGAAAACAGCTCTGACCTCCGCCTCTCAGCAGCAGCACCTTCCCCTACTCTTTGAGCTCCATGTCCACCTTTGTAGCCCCAGGCCTGTTGTCCAGAGCGCTGGACCTTTGTCAGGCCTGATGGTGGTGGGGTTGCCACACAGCACACCCTGCCCCTTGCATTCCTGTGTGTTTAAGTGTCTGACGTGTCCTGCTTGAGACAAGATTCCTGGCCAGCAAGGATGTCTGTGCGCGCGCAGTGGGCATCTGCTGCCCGTGTGGGGGGCGGGAAGGGGGAGCCAGCTCTTCCTTTTCTTTGTGGAAACAACTTGGGCCGAGGGAGGCCACAAGAGCTAATTTTAGGAGGCGAGAGGAGATGTTTTGTTGTTGTTTTTTTGTTGCTCTGTAGTTTGACCTCGTTGCATCTGGCGGCCAACTCACCTGTGTTGTTCCAGCTTCCTGCTTTGAAAATTCTTGTTGGTTAAGCAGCCAGCATTTAAAAAAAAAAAATTACAAAAGAAGAGGAAAGACAGTGTGGACATTCTCAGTTCCTGTCATCTTTGCCCTTACTCAGGGTACAAACCCTACTTTAGGGAGGAAACTGTCACTTATAAGCAGCTGTGAAAAAATAGTTAATATTTTACTGGGGAGCAGCGCCAGAGATTGAGGGGGCAGCCCTGCCAAATGTGGGGCCTCGGGTGAAATAGCTGTACCCATCTGCCCGAGGGGACGAAAGGAAGCCGTTGTCTGTGGAAATAAATGGAGGCAAGGATCCTTGTCAAGCACGCGGGGTTTGGCTGCCCAGCTCGGGCCCAGCTCCCCGAGAACCTGCATACAGGGGTGATTGTACCATGAAGGGAGAACCTGAGGGTGTAGGCCTGACGTGCATAATGGAGTTGCTTGTTCCCTCCCTGAGCCTGACATCTCCCTTTCTCCCCCTGGATTTAAATGGCTTCTCAGACGGAGAGGCACTGCCTGTGCCCTGATTCGGAAGGTCCACGCCTCCTTGGGAAGCAGGAGGCGAGAGACAGCGCTGGCTGGCTCGCTCTCTCTGCATCTGCCGGGGGAGTTGCAGCTGGTATTTTTCCACAGGCCGCCTCTGCTATCTCAGGGCCTAGTTTTTCCCAGCCGGGCCCAGAGTCTGAGAGAGGGTTAATAGGCAGGAAGCTGAAGGCATCACAGACTAATACGGAAGTCAGATTTTTGTTTAACTGACAGGTTTAGCAGGCCTCGGGGTGGGGGAGGGGGCGGGAGGGGAAGGGAAGTCTGTAGACCAGGCGTGTGGCCTGCTAGGAGCGCGCTTTGCCTTTTCTTTGGGTAAGGACAGCGAGGGGGGCCGCCCCTTGGCATGTTGGCAGGGAGGCCGGAGCCCATTTTGCCTTTTCCTCTGGTGGCCTGGCACAGGGAGCGAGAGGGCCAGTTCCTAGCCGGGGAAATGGCTCCTGGCCTGCTTTCCCAGGAGGCATCTGGACAATGACTGTGCAAACTTGACCACTGTCTTCCCCTCCTCCTCCCCTCAGCGGCCATATCCTCTTTACTCCTAGGCCATGGCTGCTTTTTAAATGGTTTCTTGGGGCTTGCCTGCCTGCCTGCCCTCAGCACCTCAGAGGCCTGCCTCCAAGCCCTGGTTTTTCTGTCCCCTTGGCTCATATCCTGGGGCTCCCTCCTTCTCAGATTTAACCTCTCCTTTGGAGAAACCACTCTTCTGGAGTGTTCTCCAAAAAGACCAGCCTGCTCCCAAGGAGAGAAGGCCATTTGTGTGGGGGGGCAGGTGAGGGTGAGCTGGAGGGTGAGTTGCAGACTCTGCTCTCAGTGGCCTGAGGGCCTTAAGGCTTTGCTGGAGCAGGTCAGGCTGGCTGCACTGGTTTGCCCGTGCCGGCAGAGCTAGCCAGGGTGTGGGAGAAGTGCGTCTGGGGGCCCCTTTCCCAAGTTTTTCTTGCTGCAAAAGGCCTAGCTTAGCCTGGCTTTTTCTATGCACAGGATGGCTCTTGCTCACCAGAGCCTCACAAAGATAATCGCTCAGGAAGTGTTTCAGCCAATCCCGGGCGGCTTTACACTCCGATTTGCCGGCGCAGCCAATCGGGGATGAGCTTTTATTAGGCGGCCAGATCATCAAGCCGAAGTGCCAAACCCTTTTTCTGTGTGAGAACTAGGAGCCTGTCCTCCATGTTTTATAAGTATTGACATTACACAGTGTTAACAATGCATCCACAGAGGTAAGCTCGACTTTTTAACCATCTTTTTCCCCCCTCTCCCTCTGAGACATCCGAATTGTGGGCTAGGCCAGTTATTTCCCTGGGGCTGGCCGAGCCACACTCCCCCCCTGAGCACTTAGCTTAACTTGGAACTGTTTAGAGAGATTTTTTTTTTTCCTTCCTCTGTCTTGGGTCACATGGCTCAGTAGCCATTAGCCATAGCTTGATTTTGCAAACTGGCCAGGGCCTGGCACACCTTGTCTTCGACCAGGGCAAGGTGTTTGGGGAACAATTTGAAGCTAGATCCTGGTTTGCCAAAAAAGCAGCCTTTTTTTTTTTCTTTTTCCCCCCCCCTTTTTTTTAAATTATTATTAAATTTTATTAGTTTCAATGAACATTCACAGGGATTCTGGGCTTTCACTCCTTCATTGCCGCACCATTTTCTCCACCCTCCTCCCCAGTTTGTTCTTCTTCCCTGCCATCCGAATGTCTGTTTTAATTGTCCAATTGCCACAGTGCTTGTCAAA